TCTCTGTCAAGGAGCTGTCCTTCAGTCATTCAGTCTACAGCAAAAAACAGCACTTCAAAGTAAAAGCTCTGTGCCAGAAATTCAGTGCACTTCAAAATAAAGTGTGTTTTTTACAAAGCTGACTTGTTGGCGAGTCACTTGCGGTCCATTCAGAATGGACCCACAACCCACTTTTGGACCGCGACCGACCAGTTGGGAACCACTGCTTTAAAGTGATCATTAAATACCTTTATTCGTACTTTACTCTATACCCATCATATGTTGGAAGCTGCATAAATACCACCAGACGCCACAGGTGTGTAGTGTAGCCATACTTTTTAAACTTTCGTGGAATCTTGGCATGCTGAATTACCGTCACCGCACTCGACCTCCCCACACCACAGACTGTATGGGTTATAGCTGCCTCAGTAGTGGGCCAATCACATGTTGCATTAAACTGAGGAACACTTGTGGTGATTGCAAGCAAACTAGACAAACAGTCATATTTTTTAGATCTTGGCACAAAAAGGATCGGATGCAGGTATCGACTGACTCCAGGAGTTTTGATACTACTTGGAACCAGGTTATTCTGGTTGATGCCTTAAAGATATCCCACCCTACTGTGCATAGAGCTTACAGCATGCCTCCTATTAACCCATCCTACCAGGTGAACTGTGTCAAAGTTCAACTCTCAGTGTGCTATTAGTCAATAAATAAGAAAAAGGAAAAAGGACAGAAGGGTTACATAACACAAGCCTTCCAATTTCTTAGATACCCCATCCAGTTCAGCAGATATCCACTAAGACAGACAGTATACACCTCATTCCCCCCTTCTTCCTTCTTCTCCCTCCCTCACTGCAAAGCCCTGTTCATATCGCCATGTTTACTGCATGTTGACATAGAAATATTTTAGGGTGAAATAGCAATGATTCATATATACACACAGTCTCACTGCGCTCTGTGTTTGTCTTTAAACTTCTCTTTTCCCCAAATCGTGTATATAAGCCATGTTTAGGAAGAGGAGATCACTCACTGCCTTCTTCTCCAGAGTCTGAGACACTGGGATGTATTATTTTACACAGAAGGAGCTGCTGCTTTTTTATGCTTTTTTCATGGAGAGCTTGAACGGAATTTGGGCAAACCAGGAGCTTTTCTACCTCTTCTAAACTGGAGCTAAGACTGCCGGACATTGATGATGGCAATTTGGCGAGTGTCTGAGTATTTAGACATTGTTAAGAGTTATATTGTTAAGCAGTGTTGTTCGGATTTCTGGCGTTCAGTAATGCAACTATCCTGCTGAAAATGTGAGGATTTTCAAAGCAAGAGTATTTCATGTGTCCATTTCTAACAACCATGTGTCAAACTTCTGCCAACAGGACTTGGATTCAAGCCATGGTGGAAGAAACTGAAGGAATTCTAGCGTTTTCCGTTGACCTCTAAAGAGCACAAAAACAGAAAAGGTTGTTCAATGACTCCCAGATAAAGGGCAAGGTATTTCACTTCTTTCATCACCTGTATGCGTGTGTCTGGAGTGTGTGTGGATGTTTACACATAACAGCAAGCTGGTAATGCAGAGCTGGAGCAATGGGCATGACGACATGTCTCCAGGCTTGACGTTCTCTGCTGCCGTTTACTAAACAGCCTCGATAGGACATGACTGTTTTAGTAAATACAGAGGGTGCGTGTGTGTGTGTGTGTGTGTGTGCGTGTGTTTTGGGTTGATTTGGTACCAGGACAGTTAGTTCTCCTTTCAGGTAGCAGTTATCCAAAGTTAAGTGGTGCATCTCCTCACTTTAGAGGGAATAAACATGAGCAGATTTATGAGACTTTACAAAGTCTTTATCCACCACACAGTGAGGAATCTTTTCCACACCGCAATAATCAGTTCTTACACACACACAAATCTCTCATGCGTAGCAGCTCTAATCGTTCTCTGTCTGAGTTTACATTATAAACACCACACTCGCACGCACCACACAGCACGAACGCGTACACACACGCACACACACATAAACAATATATGTGTGAGGGGGTGTGCGTTCCGTTAGCTCGACAGGTGTGTGGAAGACTGCCACGAGCCAGGCGGCAGGTGGAGATGAGGATTTATAGATTTTAATCGTATCACTCTGTTGAGCAATAATTCTACTGCCTGAGGCAAGGAAGGTCCGTAGCTACAGTAACATGTGATTGATGGATGCTGTGTGTGGGCATCCCTGAATCATAGAGGAGCCAGTGTGCTCCAAAATACATGTCTAATAGCTTGTGCTCCAGTATGTGACAGCTTCATTTTGAAACTGAATGTGCTATAAGGTAAAGGAAGCAGAAAATCAAACAGATGAAAGTTTTTATGGAGGCTTCAAATGTTTTTGCTTTATTTTGAAGAAGATAAAAGCAGATGAGAAGAAAAGCCAGGAGTGAAACAGTGTAATAATTGGATGTTGTAGCAAGTAAGACAAGTGTGTGATCTGCGTATGAGGTGGGATAACTATCCAAATAAACAACATACAGTAGACAAGGGAAGTTCCAAAATATTAAAACGTGTGTTTGAGTTTCAATAAAAGCACTCTAGTTTCAGGGAGCCGGTAAGATAAATCCCTCAGGTTTTACCGTTTCTTATCTGGAAGGCTCCATCTGCAGCACTGCATTTTCCCCCTGACCTTGTCATCCCCATCCCTGGCTTGATTAACGGCTACAAATTTGCATCAATTTGAAACTGTCTGAGTAAGACAGCAGAAGGTGATGTCTGCTGTTAATGAAGTCTCCGAGATAAAAGCTCTTCAACGTTCTTGTTGGCAGACGCACTCAAAAACAGAGCTTGTGCTGGATCGACAAGGCGAAAGGCCACCCCTGTTCTTGATGCTGCTTATTTCATCTGCCAGCACAAAGTCTGAGCAAGGCACAAAGTAAAAACTACTACTAAAAAACTTAGAAGCTGCATAAACTTCAAAGTGTGATGTGTTGGGTGATATTTCCCTTCTGTCTTCACTCTTCTCTGCTTATTTCCTACTTCCGTCCCTCTGTCTTTAATACTTCACTTGTGCCCAAAGACTATTTATGTAGTGTGAAGAGCAACATTTGTTCTGATTGTTCTAGGATTTTAAATGGTAGGGACATACTATCTAATAGTACACATTTTTAAATCACATGAAAAATCTTACTTTTATCAATCAAATCAAGAAATAAAATGAGCAAAACATTAACATCCATATGAGATATTTCTTGATATTATAGTTGTTATGAGTTCAGAGATACCAAATACTTGATTGTGCTGCTTCCTGAGATACAGACAGTTTTGTATCATACTATATTTAGACTTTGGGCACATGGGATTTCTGTCATAATGAAATACATAGAAAAAACAATAGTCCCATGTGCTTAAATATAAGACTACAATAAGATAAACTAATCTTTCAGCCAGATGGTTTCACTGATTTTGAGATTTTCTTCATATTGGTATAAGTCCAGAGAACACTTCCACCAAAGGAAATTCAATTTTTTGTTTCAGGCACAAATGGGTTAAAAAAAGGGCTAATGATCCACTCTGTAAAAGTGATATCTGCAGAGAAAGATCCTCTATTTGCATATGGCTTTGGCACAGTCAGGATTCCCTGAATGAGTTCCGAGGTTTACGGCTCAGTGTGTGAGGCAGGACATTTCCCTCTGTTAAATCAGATATACTCGCCAGCCTGACACAGCTAATAAAGCGGGACTTTATGATCCATCCGAATGCAACCTCATCACTTGTTTTGGAATCAGTTATGCAAATTTTTGACAGGTTGACCGTCTAACCCCCTAACCACTAATACACTTCACCTATTGTGCCAGGATGTTAAATTCCACTCTAAGTGCGCTTTCTTTGTGTCTTTCTTTCTGTGTTTAGTGTAAATGATTGTCATGCTGCCTGTGTTTCGGGGTAAATAAAGGCCTAAGGGAGACACTGATCAAAGGGTTTATATTTATTGAAATAACATGTGCAGGACACGTAGAGAGCAGGATAGAACCAAGGAAAATGATTTGCAAATATCAGTCGCAGTTCGTCAACTTAAATCATTATATCCACCAATGTAGAAAATGGCTGTCAGTAACTGGATGGTTTAACTATGTGTTTGAATATAAAATATTTTCTTTGATATCATATTACAGTGTGGATTTAGAATTGCTGTATCAAGACATACAAGCATACACCAGAATCTATTGTTCAGATTGTTGTTTCTGCAATGCATCTGACTTACTGCACAAATTCACACAACTCTTCCACACCTGTCTTTACGTGTGCGTGTTGCTGGTATTGTTGCATCTTTATTTTTTTAATACTTTGTTATAGTAGGCTGCATTATATTTTTTATTCTATGAATACTGCATATTAAATCTATGTTCTTCCTTTCTGTAAATGACAGTCACTGGAGAAAACAACCTATGAATTTCTTTGTACATGTGCATGTGGCAATAAAGCTTTTACATTTACACCTATTGCTTGTACCGAATGTTCTTGGTTAACTTCCACACACTCTCCACTCTCTATAACATTAAATAGCTTTTCATAATAGTGGTAAAATTCATCCAAAGATGCTAGTTAGAGTGCAATTACAAATTGCACTATACATGCCTGTGTTTATCTAGCAGCTAATTCACACTTCAGCATCTTTACAGCCTTTTACAGTATAAGCCCCTCTCCCCTTGTAAAGCTGCTTGCATCCAGTCAGCAGTATCTGTGTTTAGATGGTGTGACAGAAAGAGATTACAGGTGTCGTGCAGTGAAGAGGGAGAGCATGGTAATGTGGATTTTCACCGTTTGGCAGAATCAGTTAACTATCCATCACACAAAGCTCAGGTTACGCCGACATGCAGGTTCTACTCCACTGGTCATCGCTTTCCTGACAGGACTGTTTTCTGTCAGTGAGTGCTTATCGTCTGGCTTTCCCTCTTTTTTTTGGGGGGGGGGGGGGGGGGAGAGAATCATTTGACTTATTGCTTCAGAGTAATAATTATTCTGCATAAGAATAAAATGAGAAATACAACAGTGGAACTCTAAAACCTTTTATTCATATCAAAAAACACAACATGTATAGCATAAACCATACATACAGAATGAGTTTCGTACAGTAACAGATGTACCAACACACCAACAACATACATGTATAACATTACACAACACATTGACATATTTACAAAGTACAATCAACACTATCAGACTCAAAGACTGTAAGTTCATCAGATTGTTTAGCATCAGTACTACAAAAACCATGACAGAAAGTCTACCTTTTACCTTTTGTACACACACTATGTAGACAATAGTGTAATTTAACTACTCCTCTAAATGTGCTGTCTGAGCGTTGTGTATGGGTGATACCATCAAAGAGTCGCAGATAGCAGTGTGGAATGGCCTGATGTCAGCAGATCAGATCCAGGATCTGTTAATAATGAGTCAGATCTGATAGAGACTAGCTTAAGTGTGAATAAAAGCTGACTGAGGATCTGATAGCGAGGCTGACTGCGGTTTCAGGGAGTGACGCTTGCGGTCCTTCGCGGCTGACTCAGCTGTTACTGTGGGAATCAAAGCCTTTTTACTCTGCTGTCACACGCTATAGTGATCTCAACTGTCCCAGTCAGCGCAAACTTTGTGTGTTTGTGTGTGTATTGTCTCTCACAGGTGAATCTCTCTCAAAACAAAAGTGACCAGACAGGTAAAAAATTCCCGTCAAGAGTCTTTTCAGACCAAACTTTTCCCGCTCAATGTCTTATTAAACGTCTGTGCCCTCACGATGGTAGATGATTCCTGTGGAGCCCAGTGAGGGGTAGAAATGCCCGTTGGAGCCACTGTACTGGCTGAGGATTGGGCTAGTGTAGCCTAGGGAAGAGTGGGTGGGTGAAGAGGAGAGCACAGAGGGAGCTGGCACTTGTGGCACCCACTCTGGGCCGCCTGAGTTGGGGGAGTAGCTGCTAAAGCTTCCAGGTTGCGCAGGTCTATGAGGCCCATCTAAAGGAAGGTGCAGTGGCCTGTTTAACCCATCACTTCCCACCTCAGTAGCTGCTGCGGCTGTCACTCCAGACATCTCGGTTAAGAAGCTGCTGAGACAAGGTGCTGGGCCTGATGATGGAGAGGGGATCCTGTCCGCTGTGGGAGAGATGTTAAGGGAGGTTGAGTGTTTGGGGCTGCCCCTCTCGCTGTCACCTGAATCTGGAGCCCCTGAGCCGCTGTCGCCCCCGGAGAGGGAATCGGACTTCCTCTTTCTTTTGCGGCGGAAGTTTCCGTTGTCGAACATCTTTTCGCAGTTTGGGTCAAGTGTCCAGTAGTTGCCCTTGCCTGTGATGTGAGATGTTGAGATAGTGAGGTTCAATTTAAATCACTTAGCAATACGCAACACGCCAAGAAAAAACTACAGCACATTCAGAAAGCACTGCAAATGATATGAATAAATCATATAAGTCTTCCCTTACTAGAGAGAGGTATTCATAACAGAAGCAAAAACAATCTGAAAAGAAAATATTACCTGGATCATCCTCATCTCTCGGTACTTTTTTGAAGCAGTCATTGAGTGACAGGTTGTGTCTGATAGAATTCTGCCAGCCCGCTTTACTCTTGTTGTAGAAAGGGAAGTTGTCAGCCACGTACTGGTAAATCTGGCTCAATGTCAGTCTCCTGTCTGGCGCCCCGTGGATAGCCATGGCGATGAGAGCCGAGTAAGAGTAAGGCGGCCTGACCAGCTTCATCAGGTCTTCCTGTGAGGGGAGAGAGAACCAGCTCAGCTCCCCTCCTGGACCCCCAGCTCCGGCAGGACCCAGGTAAGGCCTCTGCATGCCGTAGTGCTGAGGGACAAAGGGAGGACCGGGGTTACCAGGTGGGCCGGTAGTAGCCAGATAGGGCGGTGTGTTGATGCTGGAACCGTTGAACCAGAGGTAAGGGTTTGGGGAGGAGGTCGTGTACTCGCTCAGGTCGTAGGATGTCGGAGTGGTGCGCTGAGGACTCGGCAGCGAAGGAGGTGGGTAGTAACAGTCACTGTACATGCTGAGCTCAGGGGGCTCCTGGCCGAGGCTGGGGAACTGCGGGCCACATCGAGGAGGAGACTGGCCCTGGGCTTCAAATGAAGACATTGTGAGATTTCTCCTCACCTCTCAGAGTCTCCTCTGCACCTCTTGCCCTTAGCTTGTCCCCTCTCTCTAAGCAAATCTTTTAGCAGCGGTTTTGTCGGCCTCCGAAAGTCTTTTTCTTCTTCACACCTTTGCAGGTATTTGAATGTGAGCTGATCCAAATGGTGGTCTTGGCGCTTCCAAGTTGTAGGCTCCTCTTCTCCACCCCTACCTTGTCTGTTTGCCCTTGCTTTGTCAAGATGTCACCTGTCATACCTGCTTTATCTGTTTCCCTGGAAACGCCCACTGTCTCCTTTGATTGGCTGCTTTTCGCAGGTGAGGAGTCTGTCCCTGCTTTCTCTGTTTTTTTTTTCCTGCTGTCAGCTAGTTCACTACCTCCAGGGGTTTTGTTCACCCTCAATTAAATAATTTTCCACTCAAGCTGTTACTCCAGCATTAATTGAGTTCAGTCATCTGTATCTTTTTTTTTTTTTTTTTTTCTTGATGAGCATGATGCAAATTCAAACAGACTGAAATAATACTGTTCGTTTATTTAGATTGTATACTTAAATAATATTCTTTCTCCATCATGCTACTGCTGCTGTCATGGACCGCTTAGTCATTATGAAGATAAACAACCAACCACCTACAAGAGAAAGATGATTTTGTGGACACTCTGGCTAATGTTTTCCTTTTTAAATGTTTTGGATATATGCAATATTTAATATTACATTACTAATACAGCACAGTACTATTTTCTGTAAAGGCCAGGCCACACTTATAAGCCTATGTTATAAATAAAAAATGATAATTATGATAAACAAAGCAATAGCAGTCCTGTAATGGCCTCTTTTCACCAGTTGCAGCACATACATCATAGAACTAGGAGAAATATGTAACATTACATTTGTAGGAATAGTGGTCTTATTACCTTATTGTGTAAAATATTAAACTGAAAGTGAAACTTATCTTCCCTCAAAGTCACATTTATTTATTTACTTTTTGAAATATTGCGTGTGTTTTGGAAGTGCTACTGAGCTGGATAAATGAGACTTAGATTGCACTACACTTGTTGTGTTAAAGTTTGTAAACAGATATTTTGATATAGTTTTGCTGTTGTTAAAGGTGGTCCCCAATCAATCAATTAATCAATATGTCCACCATTTTCAGTGGAGGCATGCAAGAAAACCTGAGTTTCCTCATGAATTGAAAGTATGGCATGATTTACAAATGGTAATTCTGTGGGTGAAGTATTACTTTAAGTTTGAATATGTAGTATTTTATTATTCAGCCAATTCAACTTTAGTCTCTGTAACTGGGACTGAAATGCCAGCCTGTTTTTCTTTCATACGTGTAAGCTAATATCTTGTTTGATATTTATATTATTACTTTATTATCAAGATAATAACATAACATAACAACATAATTCGTTGTCTGTCACCACTTATCCTGATAGGGGTCGCAGGGGTCGCTGGAGCCTATCCCAGCTGACATCGGGGATAATGGAAACAAGAAGCATAATTAAAAACAAAACAAAAACAAACAAACAAAAAGGCAATAAAATAAAATAATAAATAAGTGTAATAAGTGAATAGTGTAAAAAACAGAGCAGCTAAAACAAGTAAACAGTAAAGAAAAAATGCAGAGCAATATAGCCTAGAAGGTAAACACCTAAACACACAGGGCAGTGTCATAAGTAAACAGTAAAAGAGCTAAATATATTAAATTGGCAGGCTGATGAAATTTGTAAGTGTAGATATTACACAGTTTAGCATTATTATTAATGTTCCAAAGTCTTGCCGTCACAATGTATCCTCCTGCCTACAGTGGCTGTCTAATATGTACAACCCGTTTATGGAATAAGACTGTTGATAATTCATAGGAAGTTGACGTCATCACGAAAATGCGCATTGCGTCGTTTTATTCCCTCAAATTAGCGCGAGCTCTTTCTATTTCAAACTGACTTACTGAAGAAACGCCCTCTACCGTAAGTTTTTGCACAGTTTATAATTAAATAACACATCTTACCCCACAAACTGCTCATAAAAATTCCTGCTAGCGTTTGGGAATACCATTATTCCTGTTGACATGTCGAAATCAGTCAAAAACTTCATATCAACTATAATATCATGCTAACTCGACCTTGCTAACAGTTACACCGCAGCGTCGTAAGCTAGCTAGCTAACTAACGTTTGCCGTGACCTAATGTCAGTAACGGCTTGCCGGTGCCACTTAAGTTAGCTTAAGTTTTTTGTTGCGGAGAAGTTTATTCGCGATTAACCGACGGCTGATTAAAGTCATATAATGTGAACGTTACCGATTTATTTAGATGGCCGATGCAGAATCACTTCCCGAGCCACCGCAGAGCAGCAGCGACGACGTGTTGGAGATGAAAAGGGATTTGGAGAGACTCATAGAAGACACTGAAAATTTATCAGGTGTGTTAACGTTACTGTGTCTCAATGCATTGTCACACGGTGTTAGGAAGACTTCAGTTAATATCTTTGCATTCGAAGACTCAGGTTTGGCTTGGAGCTGTGTTAATACAGATATTATCCCCCTCTGTCCACCTGTAGTGCAGCTCACCTGGATGTGTTATGACATGGCGGCGCTGAGGACCAGTCCTGAGCTGTGGGACTCCATGCAGAAACTGGAAGAAGCCCATCATAAATGCAGAGCAGTTGTGTGTGGAGACCAAGAGCAGGAGCCAGAGATGGGCACATGTCCCGAGCTTACTGTCATAGCTACTACTCAGATGTGATGTCAAAGTTTACACAAGAATACTGTACTAAACAGTAGGGACAATGGCTGATGGAGTATTTAAATCTTTTAAAGTAAATGCTAAAGCTCTGTTTTCATTTTTACTTGGAAGAAGCAGGTATGTGGACTGATTTTTCTGCTCTCTGGTGTAAAACAGTATGTTTCATTCAGTAATGTGCAGACTGCATCTCTTTGATAGTTGTTACTTGATGTTAGTATGATCTCCAAACTTTGTTTCGTAGGTACCAAAGTGTTTTGTTCTGCTCTGATCTGTTACACTGAATAATAATAATAATAATAAAAAACAAAATAAATGAGAATGTGTTGTGGGTTTTTATAGACATAGATGTACATGCATGACATCTGTTTTATTGTATCTGTGTCATTTTATGTTTGTTTTAATTGGAATGTTACACCAGCATAAGTTTGTTAGATTTTGTGTGTTATATAAATTAATAGTTGACATAAACGGTTTTGTTCTTATGCATTTATTTTTCAGATGGAGAACACAGAGAAGAGCACAGAGCAAGCTACTTCAACTGCCTGCACTGATCTGGAAAACATACTGAAAGGGCTGGACTCCTTGTCTAACTGCATGGATCAACTGGCATGTATGTACAACAAGTTTATCCCCATCCACTCCCTGCACACCTCCAAAATGTCAGTAAGCATCAATTATGCCAGTAAGGTGACCTTTATGATCGATTTGCAAATATGCAAAGCACATGATGTAACTGTTACCCTAGATCTGAAATGTGATAGCCAAAAATGGATTACTGTGCACCAACTGCTGCACAAATTAGCCTCGCTCGTAGATGTCAGTGGTGCAGCGTTACACGATGCTACATGATGTCTGTCAGTTCGCACTCTGCTGATGGGCAGATAGGACTAACGGAAGGATTTCCCTCACATGGTTGTCCATCATGCCATTTGATGTGAGGCATAATGTTGCAACTTCTTTTTTTGCCAGGGGGGACAGTTGTGGGCAAAGAGGCTGTCACAGTTGTCTGCTTGTTGTCTTACTTGATTAGAGCTATCTGCTTATTTCAATAACTCAACGCCTGAAAACAAACATCAGAGGTTTGGTGTCAGTATTGGCTGTCGCCCCTCCACTTTTTTTTTAACACTATATTGTTTTGGCTTGTAGTTCATAGGAAATGAAACAACTTTATTTTACGCTATTATAATAGCATAAAATAAAGTTGTTTCATTTCAGTTGACATCTGCTCAAGCATATCTTTTACAGTTTCTTATCAGAAATTGTAAAAGATATGCTTGAGCAGATGTCAATCAACCTGTTATCGTAGAGAGCTGTTGTCAATTTTGAGTTTAAAACCCACTAAAACAAGAAGAAAATTGTTATCCCAGATGTGAAATACTCATTTAGTCATTTAGTTTGTGTGTGCTGTCTCACCCCCTAAAAAGTTATAATTGTTCCAGCTGTGAGTTGCTTCTCTTTTTCATTGTGGATTGCATTATAGAACAATTCTGTTCTGTTTAATCTGAGTGTTTTGAGTGAATTTTACAGTATTAATCAGTTTCCCAGAGCTTACACACAACATTTTCAAACCCTGGTTAGATTTTATGTGTAGAATATTTGAATATATCCGAATAAATAGCAGTTTGTCAATGATCACAAACAATTTACGTTGTTCAGGCGAGTTACTTCTGTGTGAGTATCGTATCTTTGTGTCAGATACAGTGAATACTGCTTTATAACAGGACAAAATAGAGAGGAGTGTACACTGATAAAGGTATATCATGCAGGAATTGTCAGTTACTGTTAGTAAACACTATTGTCAGCAAAATAGAAAGTAAAAGCCAACCCCAGATTCACTCTTGTTTGCTTTGTTTTTCAGCGCTGTGTCCATGATTTTTGTAGCTTCCTTTTGGATGCATGCTGCTTACTGTCTTGCACCTACGTGCTACCTTTATATACAGGCATGACCTCACCTGCATGTGGTGCACAGTAACATCCAGAACACAGTTAGATAAGAAGAAAATAAGAAAATACAGGCAGAGGGCAGAGTCTCTGCAGATAAAGAAACCCCTACACACTTCCAGGAGGTCATACGTGAAGACTGAGAGCGATTCCTTCTGTATGAGTCTCTACATTGTGTTTTTTTTTTTTTAAAGATAATCCTGCATAGTATACCTTTAAGTTTATCATTCAGGTCATTTCCTATTAGGTACTATCGTCCTTGGTGTGAAGCCTTATATTTTTTGGAACGTGACTTCTGAACATCTTAAAACTGTGGTGACCTGAGGCACTTGTGAGACAAGGTATTTGTCTTATGCCTGCAGTGCGAACCCAGCTGAGGCAATGTGATCTGATCGTTTGTGTTGGCCACCCTGACAAGTCGGTGTTTCTGAAAATCCAAGAGGCTCTGAAGCAGCAGCCCCCAGCTTGACATGACACTGAGGCATGAAGAACAAAGGTAATGTTGTGTGCTTGTGTAAAACATAGTTTAATGGAATATACACCATAAGCTTTGCCAAAATCATTCTTTCATTCTGTTTGCTAAAAATACAAATGAAGTAAGCAAAAAAAAAGAAAAGAATTATGTAATAATGACCTTTTGTGTTTGCGAAAATTGTGACGTTTGTTTTGTTCCAAAAAGGCTTCTAAAAAAGCCACAAGTATGCATGCGCACAAATTAGCATACAGAGGCAGATGCAAACACCCACATTAAGCTTGGTGTTGGTGCTGGTCAGAGTCCCGCAGGGTGCAGCAGACAACACTGGCTCGGCGCTTCAGAGCTCTGGTCTGTGGCATCAATGAGCAGCAGTGGAGTGTGTGTGTGATGGGTAATCATCTCCTTCACCCCGGGGAAACTCTACAGCACAGCAGCACACAAAAAAAGATGACAGGGACCTAATGATGCAGCGCAGCACAAGTCAGCATCAAACACTCCCCGAGGCGTGCCACAAGATGTGAACTTTTCAGTTTAAGTGAATACAGACTTTTCCTCTCATTTTAACATCATAGTTAATGGCATCATCATTTTTAGTTTACCTTGGTATTTTTGAGGCCAGTGCCGAGGGAGTAGGAGTTGCCTTGGTTACGAATCATAATGTTGTAAACCCTGCCTTCTTTCAGCAGCATTAGGGTGTAGGGGTGCTCAACCGCGCCTTGTGTGCTGTCCCTTACCACAAATGCCCCATCCTAAAGACACAAATATGGACAAATCCATGCACACACAGACACATAGAGTCAGTTCAATGTGATACTGCAAGTCAAATCCTGTATAATTTCACCTGCATGGTTTGTGTTTATGTGTGTGTCTGCGTCTGTGCTCCAGGAAGAGGAGGATGAGATATATGAGACCGTGACGGGCAACACCTGACCTTGTTCACCTCTCTGAGAGCAGCTTCAGCTTGATGTCTGGTCACCTTTCCGCCATACCAGCTGGGATCCAAGCCCTGGATGCAACATAATAAGACACTTATAGTAAGGACTACATAAACTAACTCTTCTCATTTCTTTTTAACACTGACAGTAATGTGCTTTACGCTATTGTAAATAAATATAACAGATGTTTCCAATTATCCAACCTAGTGAATAAAATGCAAATCTCTTGAGCTGAGAGCAGACATAAGGATCCTACCACTGTGTTCTTTTTACAACATTGCCATCTGCTGTTTCCCATCTGAAAGTACTCAAATGTGGGTATAATTGCACAGAAAAGCTAACCCTTACCATGTGTGTTCTCCAGCAAACAAACTAAAATAATGGAAATTATTACTCAGTTGTGGTTCCACTTTTGATTCTTACCTTTCTTGGACCTGGTATTGAATTTTTAACCTGAGAAGGCTCTGCTGGCACTGGAGGAACAGGTTTATCTGCTCTGGGAGGGGAGAGATGGAATGAAACAGAATTAAAAAGCCTAAATAACTGTATACAGGGATTGAAGGGCTTGCTGCACTTATAAATTGTTCAGGGTTCCGTATACCTGTTGGCCACATCTGTGTGTTTCGGGGGTCTTGGTTTAGGGGTCTTGCTTGTGGATGATCCAGGAGCCTTGTCAGTGCTGCCCTCTTGTGGACATGATGGATAGTGTGAAACAGAAGTGAAAAGTCACAACATTTTGCTGTTCAACTGTTACAACTACTCCTAACACTACATGATAAGCAGCACATACTTGATTTTTTAAGGTCTGTCTGGGATGGGCCAGAGTGCCCAGGCTTCTTGCTCCTGTCGACAGTCAGATTGGGTTGACTGGCTGGTGCTGGGAATGAGAAAACGCATTTTACACAAGGATTAGATCATCAACATCATCAAGAAGTCAGGTGGTTGTGGAGTTTTTAAATGTATCACAGTCACCTGGTGCTTTGAAAGGTCTCTGAGGGGTATGGCTCATTCTTGGTGGATGAGGGTGTGGAGGTTTTGAGGTCCTTTCAGCAGGGGTCGGCTCATGAACAGGATCTATTCACATACATACATAAACAATTTTGTAAGTTCGGCCTGCAAGAAACGGGAACAATTCTGCTGACAAACTGATATGTTTTCTGGCATGCTTGCATGTCTCTGTGAACAGCACTGTTGTCGAGGTTGCTTTCTGCTACCTCTGTAGTGACTGTCCTGATGTTTACCCAATCCCAGAAGTCGAAGTGGCTTTATTATGTCTGCAGAGGAAGGCTCGTCGCAGCTCTCTTCATAGGCCTCGTCACTGTCTTCTTGCGCAGCTGTTTGTGGCTCAGTCAGAGCACAGATGTAGCTGTCTTCCCCTTCCTCCTGGTTCGAACTCTCATAGTCATGATCACTGTCATTGTCCTGACCACAGCCCAGACATGAGGCACAAGTAGTGAGCACAAGTGCAACTATCAATTTGCTCTGACACTGAAGTTTGAGTCATTAAAGTGGCCAAACTTTTAAAGATAACTGGTGGCTTTTTACTTACAAAGTCATCAGAGTCCCAAAGTTCTTCCTGTACAAATACTGTAGGAAAATGAACAGTAAAAGAATGGAATCAGGGCTTAGTAATGATGGCTTTGTATCAGTGGCATAGTTGAACCCAAGTGGTGTTTACCTTGTTTTGGGTATTTCTGTGCCTTTGATCTGCACAAAAAATAAATGAGAAAGTCATGCATTGTTCAGTTACAGTGACACTTTCAGTAGAAGTTGTAAATAAAATCTGTTTTAGTACTTAAGACCAAAGCCCCCCTTCTTCTGGTCCATATTGTTGATTTCATTTTGGATCTTAGTGATTATTCTATGAAGATACAATATATGTTTTTCATCAATATTTTTGGTTGGAAAACTGTTTGATGTCAGTGAAATAAATAAATATTAAGTCAGACTCACGGGACATAAAGGCTGGGGAACACTTGAAGGTCACATGCAGTCATTTGCTGGATTATGTAGATTTGAATATTAGTGAGAAATAGAAAATCAGTTGCTTGTATTTCAGAACAGTAAATAAATGGAATGGCCTCCAGAGCTACGGGCATACTTACCATGAACTGTGCTCCATTTATGCTGCTCTTTATCACTAATCTGTCACAGCCAGATAACTTAAGCTGAGAAGATGTAACACACTTTTAGAACATGTAGATTAACTTTTACTGTATGTTTGAAGTTATATAGTCGTCTGGAAATAGTGCAGCTCAGTTGCCAGAAGAAAATGTTGGCATTGCACATTTCTGCAAACCCCGGATGTGTTACATTTGTTTGTTTCATACATGGCATATCAACATTTCTGAAGTGACGTTCTGATTATATGTGTATGAGCTCACTTTGTCATCGCGAGGTGGAAGGGATGATGAATGGAGTAAGACCTAGCTGAGACGGCTGCAGAGAACTATTTGAGATCAACAAAAAATTCTGGCCCAAAAAACGTGTATATTAAGCCAAAAAATTACTCGCTCCTAACTAAAACCAAGTGTTTTTTTGTGCCTAAACATAACCACACATTATCCACAGTACAGCAATGTTGAAATGTAAAGAGACTTTTCGACACATCCGCTACATATTAACATTCAATTATCATAAGCAACATATCCATGGTTTGCAGAAATGTGTGCAGTGCTGACATTTTTTGCTCATAAGCTCAGAAAAGTGTCAGATTTGGTTTTAAAATATAATGCATCAATTTGTGGCGGAGTAATGCAAGACAACGAACATTGAAAATGCAGAAACGGAACTGTTGCATACATTACTTAATCAGTATGTATTAAATAGTGTAGATTTTTACTTAGTTTCATACATATTGTATAGTCCCTTTATTTAAGATAAATATTTTTAACACTTCAGGTTTTAAATTAACTTAGAAGAACAAAATGAAACTTAAGAACTCGACTGCTACGGAAGACATTAAACTGTTTTTTTTGTTTGTTTGTTTTTTTTCACTCATAAGCTGCGTTTTTGATACTTACCCTCCTCATGTAGTCAGCAAGGCTTTGGGGATTCCATCCCATCACCTCCACTTTAGAGGGAACACTGTTTAAACTCATTCTTCTGCCTTGTAAGTGTCACATTGGCCAAAAAGTTAAGGGTTTAATGGCAGCAGTATGCTCACAAAATGGAAGCTCTTGCAGTCCTGAACACACTCAACCTACCGTATAAAATGAAAGTTTAGAATGACATCTCTGTCCTTTAAATAAACATTTGTGGTGGCACATCATCTTACTTGTCTGTTTTGTAAAAGACTGAAGTAGAAAGTTTCCGTGGTTATTCTTGAGATGTGTGATGTCAGTGCATGCACTCACTGCAGAGTATAGGTATCTCTAAACATAGAGACTGCTGATTTCCTTTCAGATACCTATAAACATTACCACATGCTTCTAACTACATACAGTGCATCAGTTTAGTTTGTACTAATGTACACTAATGTGTTTGATTTTTGACTGAACAGCAGGGCACTGATGTGAGATGCAGATTTCTCAAACAATTTTAAACATGGTCAGCTCTAAATGGACTGAAATGATACTCATACATTCGTGTTGTCCTCAGCCTGCCTTGTGTCAGGCCTCTTGGTATCTCACACCCAGGTGAGAGAGGAGGGCAGAGGAGAAAAGGGATGATCAATCACGCTCAAATCTTCCTAGACCCCCAGGCATGTCTGGGTGAATACATGAGTCCTCCTGGGGGGTCCCTGTGGGAGATCACCCCTGTTTTCCTTTTCTGTCCTGAATGGGAAACATATCCCCCCAGTGAAAGACATGATACTGCCAATGTGAAGGAAGCAGGAAAGACAGGATGATTATAAAGCAAGAGATGCAACAGTTATAGAAAGGTGTTTAATCAGTGTTAGGTAATGTTCAGAAAAATGTGGTTGATTTTATGAAGTCTGAAAAATGTTTCTTTCATTCTTCAAAACTTGCAGGATAAATAACTGACACTTTATATGGAGAAGAGGGTTTATGAATCGATGGACAGCTGTGGTCATCTTGCTTGTAGATCACAACCAAGCAACAGCATCATATGGGACCAATATGGAACCAATAATGTACTCAGTGGAGAGTGGAGATAAAGGGGTGGATCGGTGAGGGCTTCCTGCGGGGCGAAACCTTCATTAACACACAGCAGGATAGCATGGGAAATACAGGACATCCCCAGAAGCAAACAGACAAATGGGAAGGATAGGAGGGAGTATTTTGGTCTGTGAGAGTGTTACTTGATCCTCGTTCAGTAAGGATTTTCTGTCACTCTGTGTGTAGTGGTCTCACACTTTCTCTGTCCCTGTACCTGCGCTAGAAACCTATTTTGTCCCCCCAAATAATTACATTTACCCATATATATTTATGTGGAGTTGTATGCTGTTTTGTGGTCAGAAGAAAATGTTGGCTTGCATGCTTCTGCAAACCACAAATACGTTACATTTGTACCTTTCATTTGCATTATATGAATGTTGAGAAAGTGATGTAGGGTATGAGCTGACTTCGTCCTTTGGAGGTGGAGGGTATGGTGGAAGGCGTGACACCTAGGCAAGACACTTGCAAAGCTGCAGACCACTGTGTGAGACCTAATGTGTTGCTTAAGTGGTAATTCCATAATACGGTAAAACTTTAATTAATTAAAAGCCTAGTCCCTATTAAACTCCTAGTCTCTTTTACTAACCCAGTGTTGCCACACATTTTGACAAAGAAACAGCTGTCTCAGTTAGATGCCTGGTCTGGTTGCCAAGCAGTCCTTTTTTATAGAGGTTCTTTGGATGTATAAAGCCAGGTTGTTGGCTACCTCAAGTTATGTGTCCATTCCTCGATTAGCCTGTAAGATATTCATATTCCTTTAGCCCGTTGGGTCCTCAGATCAAAACAATCAAAAGGATTTTTCATAAAAATTAATCAAAGTTATGAGTATTGTTTTAACCAACCTGGTCTTGTTCCAAAGTTGTCGAAGTCCAGCACATGGGCAGTGACTTGCGGCATCAGACTCTGATATGTCGGCACGGTATGCAGCCAGTCACCATTATAGTTTAACGGTGCTTCGTGGCGTCAGGAGGAAACATGGCAGGACAAGAGTGCATGTTAAAGTCAGATGAGAACGAGTGGGAGGGGTGGTGGAGGGGTCCAACAAACACCAACTCTCACCCGGGAGAGCAGTGTTGGTGCCCTGGAGGATTTTAAAGCCAAACCTTGTTCTGTGTTTCTAAACCTAGCTATTTACTTTTGTTGCCTAAACCTAACCACATTTTCTTGTTGCCTAAACCCAACCACGTGTTAGTTGTTGAAGGAAAAAAATGTCAATTTTCGGTATTTTATCGAGTTAGTGTGTTTATTTTGAAATAGACTGTAAGCGGTGAATTTCTTGTGAAAACAGAAGTGTATTTTGAAAGAAGACAATGCTATAAAAGGCATTACTTGACAACCAACGCACCCAGGGTACCTTCCACATGGTATCTAGATGTGGAAAGTCCTTGACCAAACATCGATATGTGACAAGGTCAGAGTGAGAATGTGTTGTTTTAACAGGATAAAGTTGTGTTGTGTTGGTATGCCAGTTGCTGTATGCCTTGAGTGCCGTAACTCTCTTTCTCTCTGATTCACTGTCTGGTGGAGCTTGATCAAATAAATGATTCATATCTGAAGCCTAATATTTAAACAAGTAATGCTCATACTGTTTTAAAAAAACAATTTGATTGTATTTCCTGATCTTTGATGAGCAATAGTTTGGAATGAATGCCTGTCCCAAATAAAGGCTTTGATGATTTTAGTGATATAAGCAAATAATAGCCAGGGCTATTAATTGAATTTTACAGTATGTCAAATTTGAAACAACAAATGGGAAGAAGTGGCTCCCATCAAGTTGTCAGAGTTCTTGTGGATGTTTGTGGCACCAGTTGATCTTCTGTATATTAACCCATGCAGTAATTTCTCTCTTATCTCCTCATTTACTGCTTCTATAGTAACTGGTCTGTAAAGATGGTGAAACAGCCTCCTCCCACCCCCCTCTCCCCTAGGCATGCACCCCCTCATGTAGGTAATATCCATGCCATCACTCACTTAGCTGAGACAGTGGCAGATTTATGACACGTCCAGCTGAGAGGAAGATTTTTGCAGAGACAGGGGGTAGAGGAAAGAAGAAGGCAAATGAATGGCTCTTAAGACACAGATAGGCCAGTGGGCGGAGACGAGGCTCCTCTCAGACCTAATTACTTGCAAATTATAAGATTAGAAATTAACTTGCTTTCAGGGTGGAATCCGAGTCAGGCTTATTTATAACTGTCCCCTCACTGGAGTTACGGTGTAATATCTGGACCCCTCAGTGACCCACTTTGCTGTGAAACAGTGAATTTTGGTCACAAGTGTGTAAACGCGTTTCCCCTGGAGGCTTTGATGTATTGTGATACATTTGCTTTGTCCGTGGGATGTGACTCGGATAAAGCAGTGTTGGCCCGGATTATCAGGCCAAATAGTAACTTGTAGCGGTGTAAATGCTTCCCTAATTTGTCTTTCAAAGCCTCTCTGCTCTTTGAATGAAATCAATACACGCTGACATCAAAGTGATAGTGGTTCAACGCTGGATCAACACCTTGGTTAGGTGCGAACTGCACCATGTTATCCGTGTAATCCTCTGTTAAGTGTATTCGGCTCATTCTTATTCTAATAGATTCTTGTGTGCCTTCTCCTAAAATCCAATGACCCTGGGATTTATTAAGTAAAATTATGAAATGTTTCTGTAGTTATTGGCTGGAATGAAACGTGACAATCAGAAGTCTTTATTTCTAACTTTTATTATAATCAAACAAACATAATATTCATAAATAGACACAAGTATTTATACAAGGAGACATGGGAAGTGCAGACATTTAACATCTTAATATGGGCTCTTATTTAACAGACGTCACTGTGATGTAGGAGCTTCTTTTTCACTTGGGTCCACGGTATTTCCGTCTAAAGCCGTGCCCATGAGCACCTTCCCTCCTGGCGCACACATATTTGACCATAACCTGAGAGCAGTCCTCACAGTTCACCGTGCAGCACCAGTGGAATTTGCAGTTGCAGCTGCTCACTACCTCCGTGCGCCTCTCCTCCACCCTAAGGCCGCATTCATGACACAACCTCCGGCAGCTGCGCCTCTCCCACTGGGTTAAACCCTCTCCGTGCTGCACACACTCCCGGCCCTCGGTCCCGTACAGCCCCATGCTGGTGTTCCTCCTGCAGTAGTCCGGGGAGTCCTCCAGGTAGATGAGCTCTGTCGGGGCCACGCTGCCAAACGCGTCCACGATGGCACCACGGTTGTCCGCGCTGTTGCCAGCCCGCATGCGCTTTTTGTCGATGTCCAGTTTTTGAGCTTGGCTGTGTTTGGTCTTCAAGTAGTTGCCGATTTCTCTGAAATCTGACAGCTGTGTCCAGCAGGTTTGGACAGTGCAGCTCTCAGACATGCCATGACATCTACAGATGCGCTTCATTGTTGCTCTCACAGCCTGTTGGAAAACAGGAAAGGTTAATCAGTGCCAAGCCAGCGACCTAAAACGGTGTCATGTAATAAATTCTCGTTGTGCAAACAGTTCTTACCAGCCGTCCAGCTGCGTTGTTGTGCAGGTTGACAGCAGCCCTGGAGTCTTGACCCGTCTCCTGCGCGTCAACGTACTGTTTGGAAATCCTCTCTCCGAAATCCACGTTATCACTGCAGCCACCCCACAGCCAGCCACGACCACCTGCACACAAAATGTCACTTAAAATCAGCACCAACTTTAAATATCGAAAATTATAATTGATCCATAGGTCGGCCTAAGTTTTGTGCACAACACGTCACAAGCATGTTAAATATTTATGGAAACTTCACCTATTTTTCCATTGTTGGAGACGTCACAGCCGCAGTTATCGAGTTCCCCCAGACTACAGTTCCTGGTCAGAGTGTACATGACCCCCGCTGCACTGATGGCGTGGACGAAAGAAGTCTCTCTGGTGGCTGGAAGAAGAAATAGGCATTTACATTATGCATGTCATGTGTGGCAAAGGTATCTAAAACATATTAATTATAGCCTACCAACTTAAAAAAATAATCAGTGAATATTTAGGAATTCCTCTAATGGTGACCTTTTAAAAATGACTTCGGTGATGAAATATATAAATATATTTAGCTGTGACTTATTTTAATTACAAAAAATAAATAGAAATGGGCCATTGTATAGGAATGACTACAACACAGTTATAATCCATTTCGGCGCATTATGCCCTTTATTTTTGGATATATTCCACAAACATTTTACGCATGACGTATCACGTAATTTTTCCTTCAGCATATATGGACTTGTTTTAGGACTTGTATTTACAATTCAAACCTACCGCGTTTTAGTCCTTTCAGCTGAGTCGCGCTGTCGGGACAGTTCCATCTGTCCCACGCAAACTGGTGTCTGCACTCTTCGATCCCACTCTGTGCACCCACCTGCACGCTTCTTGCGTAGGTGAGATAGGCCTGCAGGAGAGGCAATGTCATTTTGTGACCTGATTCACATTTGAAAGGTTATCCTAAACTTGTCAGGGTTATCCCAGTAATTAAGTAGTTTCTTATCTACCTTAGGTCCCGTCATAAGTACGTTACTTGCCACCCTGAAAAAAAAATAGAGGATAAAGAATGAGATTAGTTTCTCTTAAGTCTACACATATAGAAAAGATACAGGTAAACCATGTAGATCTCTTACCAAGCATGTCCTGGGCATATTTTGAACAAAAGGGGCAGGATCCAAAGTATTGAATGCATTTTCACATGCACCGTTATCCTTCAAAGTAGAGATGTTGCTATTTTGGCCCTGCGTACTGCAACTTTTGTTTGAATGGAGGACAAATGGAACTCTTGTTCTTTGTCCCCGAGGTCCGAGAAAGCCGATTGGTTGACGGGTTCAGGAAACGCCTATTGCGCACTTCAAAAGGATGGCATTAGGCTCCACTTTATTTTCCTCCCCTAGGCTGTATGACACCAGGGCACCAATATACAAAATCTTGCCAGTGACAAATCAGTCTGAGTCATGCATATTATAGAAAAAATATTTATTAGATAGCATTTTCAATTAAAAATATACATTTAAAATATTAGACACCTTTCAGACTTCACAGAAGACAGATCCAACAAATTTGATCCATTATCCCTTAAACGCCACCATGAACGAGTGAGCATTCGTGGATAGTTTGATTTCTGTACAGAATCAAATCAATAAGATCAAGTGCATTAAATAGCATCAGATGATGTAACAGTTGAAATTGAAATGAACATTTCTGTAATACAGAATAATGTCTATTGATGTCCATATATGAAAAGTGATGAGGATAGTCTTTGCAACCAGTGGCAATCATTGCTGGCGCTCACGGTGCCTGCGCCTCGTTTTATTATGTGGTTTTCTTCCACCGTCTTTACGTGTACAGTAATATTTTGTCACAACTTGAGTGCATTTGTCGCACTTCACCGTGCAGCACCAGTGAAACTTGCAGTTGCAGCTGCTCACAACACTGATGCGCTTCTCCACCACTCTGAGGCCGCATTCATAGCACAGCCTGCGGCAGCTCTTTCTCTCCCGCTGGGACATGTTCTTGTTACCCTTCAGACACTCCCGGCCCTCGGTGCCCTGATATCCCAGGCTGTGGTTCTTGACGCAGTAATCCGGGGAATCCTCCAGGTAAATGAGCTCTGTACGGGCGATGCTCCGGAGAGCGTGCGCAATGGCTCCTCGGTTGTCCGCGCTGTTTCCAGCCCTCGCCGGCTTCTTGTCCATCTCCAGTTTCTTTGCATGCTCGTGCTTCAGCTTCAGGTAGTTGCCCACCTCTCTGAAGTCGGCCAGCTGCATCCAGCAGGTTTGGATGCTGCAGCTCCCAGACACTCCGTGACACTTACAGGCTCTCCTCATGGTAGCTTTGATTGCCTGCCAAGATAGCGAAACAGTTAGTTGGAAATGTAATTAATTGCACTACTTCTTCCTTCCAAGATCAGAATCAGTGCGTAAATGCCACCAACAAAAGACATTTTTCCCTCCCCGGACCAAGGTTATTAATAAATGTTTCATTCTGACAAACTTAAGTGAGTAATAAAAGTAAAATCTTACCAGTCTGCCTGCCTCATTGTTATGCAGGTTGACGGCTGCGCGTGAGTCATGCCCACCTTCCAACGCGTCCACAAACTGTTTGGAGATCTTCTCTCCAAACGCCACATTATCACTGCAGCCTCCCCAAATCCATCCTCTACCACCTGGGGATTAAAAATGCGCATTTTTATTCAGTACTAAGAATAAAATGTCCATCTCACATAATCAAATCTAATTGTAAATAGACCACATGGCGTAGAAATGTACCTGTCTGTCCAATTCTGGAGTCATCACAGCCGCAGTTGTCAAAGTCTCCCATACTGCAGTTCTTGGTGAGCGTGTACATCACTCCAGCCGCGCTGATGGCATGGACAAAAGACGTCTCCCTCGTGGCTACAATGCAAAGTAAGCAAAATATAATGTTAGGCTTTGCAGCCCAAGTTGGCAACGCAGATGCGCAGTGGTTACGTTCAAATACTGTGCGTAAAAGGTGCGTAAGCCGTGCGTAAATGCACGGTTGGAGATTAACAGGGTAACAATGTTGGGCATGTTGGGTGTTTTATTAATGAGGGTCTAGCAAGGAATTTTAGCTTATGATTGTGTCCCCTCTCCATGGAGATCAGAGCGCACAATCCGCCACATCATCCTTTCTGCGTTGGAGGAATAACTTTGTGCAAAAGTGCCTGTGCAAAGTTGAGTTACTGGAATTGAACTCATCACCACTCCACCCCGACACATGTCCTTCATATGATGCAAATATATGGATACACGTCTCTTACCACTTCGAAGGCCGTTGTGTGTGGATAATTGGAGCCTGTTTTCTGGGCAGTTCCACCTCTCCCACGCGAACTGGTGTTTACACTCATGTATTCCACTTTGTGCGCCAACTTGCACACTGCCGGCATAAGTCAGGAAAGCCTTGGGAGAGGAAAAACAGGAAATATAAGAAAATACATTAATTTATTGTAGATTCAGCTAAAACATTTGAATATACAGAGAGGATTTTACGCACAATAAGACAGATAAAAAAATGTGTTTACCTTAGGTCCAGTCATGAGGAAGTTATTCACCGTCCTACAGAAAGGAAACAGAAAAGCCACGTTAATCCAAAGTCATTATACCACCAGCAAACACATTTCAATGTAGTATTTTTAAATTGATTCCACCAAAAGGAAGAAACATACCAAGCAAATGTAAACTGACAGCACATGGACAGAACCATGGCTGGAAGGAGATTCAAAGGTCCCATCACAGCTGTATTCCAAACGGAGGCCTGTCTGTTTGTATCCCAGATGTGAGTGCCCAAAGAGAGAGGAGGGCGACTGAAGCTGTAGCCAGACTCCACGCCGATGATATTTATATGCTCTTGCCCGTTTGATTGACAGATTTGTCCCACAGGTAACGCTCCACTGTGAAAATGCGACGACATTGATGCCGCGTCCTATAGACAAAAAGGAGCCGTCGGTGCATAAGTGCACTTCAAAGGAGTGACGCAGACAGTTAAACGGCCCCTCAGTCATTCATTCACCTGTCGTTCCCAGGCTCCAATCCTTATGCACTTTTCCCACGAATGGAAGCATATTGAGTACATATATGAGCACTGATTTAAAACTTATTAAAAATGCATCAAGCTGAGGATATTTAAATGATGCCATTTTGGAATAATATCTTGGTTTATTGTTTAGGGATTTGAAGAGGGGTGGGTTTCTGCACTGAGACCACACATTATAGACATAGCATTATCATCAGAAAACAACTTGGTTTCACTGAATGGCATTAAATATGGCTCCTAATTATTAAATTACAGTCATACGTTAGGGAAATATACAATTTAATGCCTTCATATGTAGCTGGAAACGTTTGGGAAATGGCACCAGTGTCCCAGGGGGAAAAGACAGTGACTACAAAGCCATAAAGTCTTTCAAGAGCTGATGGTAGCCTATATAGTCATGTAAATACTGCCTCACACATCGGCGACATTGGCAGCGTTGTGATAATAGGATAATAGATGTTTCCCTGGGAAACAACTCGGTGTGAAAACAGTCTGGAATTTACAAGTCTGTAAACACATAAGAGCTTTAATGCTTTAACCATTACATTGGAAGTTATTGTTGGTCATTTTGTTCTATAGATGGTTTTGATTTGTAGAGTTATACCCAAAAAAACATATTGATAATTTATTCTAGAAGCGTGGGATTATCCAGCACTTAGTCCCATCTGATTCTGCTGATCATCCTCCTTGATTTAACTTCCATAATTACTGATCATTAACAGTCATCCTGCCAGTTTCTGTCATTCCATACTCAAACTGTGATTTGATGCGAGAGAAGTTACCAAGTTAGTGATTAACATTACAGCTTTTAAAACCACACTTGTCAAATCCCCTTTAAGCCACTCAAAATCCCTTAAAACAACAATCCACTCATCGCGGTGAACAATGGACGGACGGCCGGGCGAGGTCCTCCGCACAATGGTGGAGAGGTGAAGGTGAGGATAATCTCTATTAATTAGATATCGCTCACATTCACTCTGCAATATGACTGAAACCTAGAGCCCCTCAACACCTGGCTGGGAAATAATACAGAGCAATTATAATCGAGCTGCATGATTTGTAATTAACCCAAGGCGCATTAAACGATTTAATGGGTTAATAACCTGCAAACAATAGTCCATCCAGCAGGGCGTGTTGCAGCATGGGTGCTAGATGGCTCCTAAACACCGAAACTCTTAAGGACAAGTCACGTGGGTTGTTAAGTGAATTAAAGAAATGGATTTTATTTATTAATTATTAGGCGATTAATGGTCAAATCAGAAATATTGTCACCTGTCAAATGTTTGATTGGATACATATGTATTGCCATACCTTATAATTATTACCTTATGGATTTTATTTTTCATACAAGTTTGTGTATTCTGTCTCCACCAGGAAACGGCAGGGTCAGGACATTTGACCACTTTGCTTAAAATAACATCAAGTAAAAATGCGCGCTAATTAAATTGTTCCAACAGACATTTCAGACACATTAGGCCGTCCGGCGAGCGCTGACGGGTGATTTATGGCACTGCAAGGTGAGAGAAATGGAGCAATAAAGGCTTAGGAGGTGACAGGCTTTACAGACCGAGGGAAGGGTGGCAGGACTGGTGACGCCAGCCAGAGACATCAGTCAGGCTATAAATGACCACTGTAGACTGGAATTAAAAATGACCCGTAATAAATAAATAATAGGCTATAAATATGTTATCTAATCCTTAATGCAGAAAAGTCCAATAAATATTGAAATATTAAACTCAAATCATTGCCTTAAATATTTTTTTTCCAGCATTCTTTTCTATTTTTTTGTTCTTTATTGTATTTTATATCAATTATTTTCGAAATGCACCTTCTTCAAATGTCTACTTTTATTTCATAGTGCTATTTTTAGTGTTGCTCTTGCTTAATATTTTCTCATTTACATGACAGTGTTGTGGTAACCAATCCCCGCCCCTCCTCGCCTTTCAGCCAACCACATTCCTCCAGCCTCTGGCAGGCTCAGCTACTACCAACTAGCAAGGTAGCTCTTCTTAGCTACCCACAGCACTTGTTTTTTCTCAAAGTCAAGGATCCTTCCTTGGTAGGATGAGTCCTTCCAAGGAAGGATCAGTTTTAACAAATGTAAGCAGTATTTTCAAAGTCACATGACTTTTATGGAGAATATATTTCTGGATTATATTTTAAAAAACCAAACAGTTAGGCTAAATGATATGGGTAATTTGTGGCACTTAGCGCTCTATCACTGCTGCAAATGATTGATTTAAAAACTTTAATGTTTTATTTTAAAATGCTCATTATTTGGCAGTGGACACATTGGAAAGGGTAAATAATGAGGTTTCTGTCAGTATTTTTTTTCATGCTCGTATGATAAAAACTCCTGGAGATATTAATACAAATAAATTACATATTTATCTAAATCATGCTGAGCTCCACTGGCACATTTTTTGTTAAAGAGGTCCCGCTTTCACTTCCAGCAAATCATGCGCAAAGAATTGTGGGTACTTTATACCTGCTGAGCATACACACATGTATACTTGAAAATTCTCTGAATAAAGGACTCTGTCCTTTGTAGAATTTAAAGGATCCTTGATATTGGAACAGTCCTTAGGCAGGATTTGATGATGTAGCATCCTTGAAATTCAGCAGTGTAAGGATCCTTCCTTGACTTTGAGAAACACCCACTGTCTTAGGCTGCACTGGTGTGTCTTTGCCCTGGGGAGCCTTGAAATCACTACAGTGATGCTGACGTTAACATTTACAGAACAATGACAAGTAGGGCTGCAGTTAATGGTCATTTTCACCATCAATTCATCTGCCCATAAATTTCTACATTTTTTGTCGGTTATTCGTTTGGTCTGTAAAATGTCAGAAAATATTGAAAAATGCCTATCATAATCTCCCAGAGCCCATGGTGATGTTTTTAAATAGCTTGTTTTGTCCACCCAAAAGTCTAAAACCTGATGTTTTTTTTTAAATTAACTATCATAGAATATTAAGAAAAGTAGCAGATACTCACATTTGAGAACTGAGATTTTTTTGCTTTGAAATGACAACAAATATCCAGTTTTTCTGTCCATTAATCAAGTAATCGTCTAAGCTCTCATGCCAAGTAAGAGCTCACATGCTAAGCTAGCTTGAAACATTAGCAGGCTAGCTGCCTCCTTGAGCCAAGCTAACAAGAGGATGTAACAAATTCTCATAACAATGTGTTGAGTTTTGACGTTAATTTATTTAGTGCTCTGTATATAGGCCAATGATTATGTGTTTAATATGAGCCACTTGGGCTACATTATTATTGTTATTATTAAGGTGTGAAAATATGTGTTTCCAACCCGTATTCTTACCTGTTTCTGTCAGTAAACTATACCAGAATATGGCCCCTGTATATCTGGTTAAACCTTAAAGTAATGCAAGTTTAACACCAAGACTAAGGCTCTGAATATGCACTCATATGTGAGGTGTGAATTGCATAACTGTGCAGTGCAGTACTTTACACACTGAACAGGCCAGTTGCAAGCAGTTGAGATGAATCATTTGTGTATTTATTCCATGGCCGTGCATGATCAGTCCATGCCTCATGAGTATGTATGTGAGTCTGACGTTTGCACATAGACATAAAGGAGACAGCAATATGCAGGACTGACTGGTTCCACGTCTTCATATTTATTTCATAAAGAAAAGTAAAAAGTTTATTAAGAAAACATCCCACATGATTAGACTCCGATTGCTCCCATGTCTGTAAACACCCCCCATACCTCCCCCACTAGCCTGGATGCCTGCCTTTCTCTCTGTGCTACATCACTACACCACTCCCCAGTTTGGCAATATTGGAGACATGTTAGCTATTATAGGCTAACAGTGCAAGACAGGCACCCAGGCTAAAGTTATTTCCACCGGAGTGGTAAGAGAGCCCCCATGTGAGGATGCCATATACCCTTACGGCACCCCAGGGAGCTCAAGAGCACCCTTTTCTGAAGACAAAGCAAGAGATTGAAATACTGTGATAATCAAAGGAAAGTGCTTTTTTGCTGTGGCATCTCAGCGTCTTTTCTTCATGTGCTCAGAAGTCAAGGTGTGGCATCGCCTTTCCTCTCTTGCTCGATGGCTGGAAATGAAAAGCAAAAAAAAAAGATTAGGTCAGCAGGCTTGTGTTTAGTGAATATTTGAGAGGATGCTGCTTTTTGGGTTGGCTGTATATCAATGATGTGCTGATGCTGCAGCAAATTGTTTTTTTTTTTCCTGCTCTGCTTGCTGAGCGTGTAGTCTTTTGACAGCAGTGGAAGTGATGAGTAGCTACTGACAGGAAAATTGTTGCAGCGGATCAAGGTGCTTCAGCGCTGCCCAGAAACACACAGACACGAGGGGCACTCACTCTCTTTGGTGGGCAGAGGGTTTTTTTCTTTTGTCTCTGTCTTCTTCAGCTTTGTCTTGTCGAAACGGGCAATCTCAGTCATGTCAGGCTTGTCAGACATTTTGGCTGTAAAAGATGAGAAAGACACCTGAGCACACGGCTTTGACCTTTACTGTCAGCCATCATACTGGTAATTCAGAATAACATAATAGACATCCATCTTTTCTATCAGATACACTCTGTGGTATTAGAGTAATGTTCTTCCGAGTCATCACAAGAGCTGTCAAAAACCTCGATGGCTTTGTCTGATGTTGAAGATAATCTTTTTCTATTGACTGCACAGAAAGGGAGTGGCAACGACATGTGC